GATAGAAGGACAGTTTCTCCCCCCCCCATGCCATCACTCTGCTAAACAATTAATTCCCATAACACTGTCAGAATATGTAATTAGATTGTGTTACTATTCTTCTTCTTCTTCTTCTTCTTCTTCTTCTTCTTCTTCTTCTTCTTCTTCTTCTTCTTCTTCTTCTTCTTTTCTTCATATTTATTTATTGATTCATTTATGATACATAATACAAAAATATGAAAGAAAATGGCAGGAAAACAGGGGACAGAAAAGGGAAGCGAAAAGTGCAGGGCAAAGAGAAAGAAGGAAGGAAGGAAGGAAAGAAAAAGAGAGAAAGAACAAAAGAAAGAGAGAGAGAGAGAAAGAATGAACAAAAGGAAGGAAGAGAGAAAGAGAAAGAGAGAAAGAACAAAAGAAAGAAAGAGAGAGAAAGGAAAGAAGGAAGGAAGGGAAAGAAAGAGAGAAAGAACAAATAGGGGATGGAGAAGGGAAGGGAAAAGTGCAGGGCAAAGAGAAAGAAGGAAAGAAAGAAAGAAAGAAAGAAAGAAAGAAAGAAAGAAAGAAAGAAAGAAAGAAAGAAAGAAGAAAGAAAAAGAGAGAAAGAACAAAAGAAAGAGAGAGAGAGAAAGAGAAAGAATGAACAAAAGGAAGGAAGGGAGAAAGAGAAAGAAAGAGAGAAAGAACAAAAAAGAGAGGGAAAGAAAGAAAGAAAGAAAGAAAGAAGGAAGGAAGGAAGGAAGGAAGGAAGGAAGGAAGGAAGGAAGGAAGGAAGGAAGGAAAGCTGTTGACTTCCAACTCCCTTTGGTGCAGTAGAATAAGATAATAACATCAAACCTCAACTTTTTTTACTTTTACACACTATTATAAATTAACCATTTCTATAAAAACAAATCTATCTCATTGGTAAAACCCAAAATCAAAGTTTCATTTCCCCCCACACCCCAAGCACAAAGTCCAGAAGTGGTTTCCAAGCAGAAGCAAAAGTAATTGTGGGGTTTTTTTTTCTTTAATCAAGGCAGGCATTTTAACTCCATCCAACTTTTGTGGCCATTCGTCCATTGTAGAAATTTAAGCGTATTTTCATTTTTGTGTGTAACGTAATCTTGCTGCCATCAACATATGTAACATGAAAGTTCCAAAATCCCCCCCCCCTTTTCCCCCCACTTAAACCCTGGAGAAAGGTTTCTGGTTTTATCTTTATATTCACTTTGAGAACTTTCTGATGATATTATCTAGTTAAGTGTAATGAAACATCTGCCAGAAAACAAGCAAGCTCAGATAGCAACGAGGAACCCACAGTTCTCCTCCTCCTCCTCCTCCTCCTCCTCCTCCTCCTCCTTTCTGCAAATCCCACCTCCTTCTAGCACTGATGATATTACCCAGTTGGGTCATTAAACGTCTGCAAGAAAACAAGCAAGCTCAGATCCTACAGGATCCTACAGTTCTCCTCCTCCTTTCCCTCTTCCTCCTCTTCCTCCTTTTCCTCCTCCCCCTCCTTCTCCCTTCTGCAAATCCCACCTCCTTCTAGCACTGATTATATTACCTAATTGGGTCAAGAAACATCTGCAAGAAAACCACCAAGCTCAGATAACACCAAGGACCCCCACAGTTCTTCCTCCTCCTCCTTCCTGCACTCCCCAAACCCCACTCTCTTCTAGCACTGATGATGTTACCCAGTTGGGTCATGAAACATTTGCAACAAAACTAACAAGCTCAGAGACCCCTCATTTCAACTCCGAGCTACAAATATTCTCCTTTATTAGAGCCTCCTGTATTCAGGTGGGAATATCTCTCTAAGAAATCATAACATCCACCAAGTTATCAGAAGCTCCAACTATAGATAAAGCTTCTCAAAGCTTGTCAGCCTCTCCCTCTGCCTCTCCACGTTTCCATCCTTCGTGCACTCACCCTTTTGGTCTCTAAGTTGTTCAGACGGTAGTATTTCACCGATCCAAAGTACCCTTTGACTCCTGGCACGTATCTACTGCCCCCCAAAACCAAGTAGCCCCCAGTGTCATCGTAATAGAAATCTTGCTGAAAACTAGAAAGGAAGACAAATCGTTCTTTTAGATTTTCATTCTGGAAAAGAGCCAAAGACAGAATGGTAAAACAGAGAAATCACATCCTGCGTTGTGGTTCTGGAAGCTGCAGGATTGCACAATTAAATATTGCTTATCAGTAAAAGAAAGCATTATACATTAACAAGATCAGTAGCCTATAAAGAAAACATGTATAAAATGTTTATGGTTGGCATTGATTTATCACCAATGAGATTGGCCAAAATGTATCCAAACACGAATCCAACTTGTTGGTAGTGCAAAAAATAAATAAATGCAAGGGACTTTCTATCACATGTGGTGGACCTGCCTGGAAACTTAAAAAGTGTTAGATTAAAATTTAGTAATGGATACAACAAATTATGGAAAAACAAATAGAATATTAAACCGGAATTTTTTCTGCTGGGAATAACCAAGGGGAAATATAGAAAGAACATTAAAATATACATATTAATACACTTGTTGACTACAGTCAGAATATAACTTTTGCCCAATGCTGGAAACAAAGTAATATTCCCCCCGGATGAATTAGTGATTCAGAAAATTCTAGCTTTCTGCAGAAATGGATAAATTAACATTAAGAATAAAGGACAAAGAAGAGTCTAAATACTATGAAATTTTTGTTTTTCTTGTCAAAAACAAAGAGTATGCATAACCTTTAGGAGGCTTATAGAGTGCTCCTGGGGGCTGNCAGACACAAAATTGAGATGTTTGGCTACTGATTCATACTTACGACGGTTGCAGTGGTTTTGGGTGGGGGGGTCAGGCGATCCCCTTTTGCGACCTTCTGACAAGGAAAGTCAACAAGGAAGCCAAATTCGCTTTACCACCAGGTTACTAACTGAAGAACTGAGGTGATTCGCTTAACAAATGGGGCAAGCGAGGTCGTAAAATGGGTCAAAGCTCACTGAACCCGTTTCTCAGACACATTAATTTCGGGCTCAGTTGCGGTCGTAAGTTGAGGATTACTTGATTATCTTTTAGCAGTGTGTTGAAAGAGTCAGCCAGGAGAAAATGTGTGCCAGAGACAATCCCGTTACCTGATCTCTTGCTCCGGATTGTTGATCCCGGGGTGTCTTTACAGCCACGTCACTATAGTAAGCATATGAGACCTCAAGATCCTGGGGATAATTATTAATCCCTTGGTAGTGCTTATAGCCAAGGTTCATCAAAGCCAGCCGGTCCCCTTCCTGAGCTGCAATCAAGCTGTAGAGCAATCCCTGCAAAGGATGAGTCGGTTGGCAATCGAATCAGCACTGGGGAAGCCTTTTGGTCAAACCCGGAAAAGTATTATATTGCCAATCGCAAATAAACCAGAGCAAATTTTAGAAACGTGGAAGGAGGGGCTCAATCGATCCATAAAAAGATCAGTCGGAACGGAGCTGGGAGGCACCTTGGAGGTCTTCTAGTCCAGTCCCTTGCTCAAGCATTTCTCAACCACTTGACTCACTTTTTCCATCCTTCCAAGGTCGGTAAAATGAGGACCCGGATTTTTGGGGCAAGAGACTGACTCTGTAAACCACTTAGAGAGGGCTGTAAAAGCACTATGAAGTGGTATATAAGTATTGTTGAAGTGCTATTGCTATTGCCTTTCCTCCCTCCCTCCCTCCCTCCTTCCTTACTTCCGTTCCCTTTTTATTTTCATTTCCTTCCTTTTCATTTCCCCCTTCCTTCCTCCTTTCGTCCTTCATCCCTCCCTCGCTCCCTTCTTTCCTTCCTTTTCTTTTTCATTTCCTTCCTTTCATTTTTTCCTGCCTCCCTCCCTCCTTCCTTCCTTATCATTTTCATTTCCTTCCTTTTCATTTCCCCCTTCCTTCCTCCTTTCGTCCTTCATCC